TGAGAAGTGGGGTGGGGGGTTCTGATACGTTGCTCAAAACGCCTGCATTAGGCCAAATGCGTGAGAGAGAAGAAAGGTACGTTCATAGGGCGGAGTTTGTTTAGGCCCAGGGCGCGAAAGGCACTCAAGCCGCTAATCTATTTAGCCGTACTGTTTGATATGGAATTAATGAGACCCCCACTATCCTTAAACCAAACTTCCCCTTTCCGCGGTATTACCTACCCTAAACAGATTTTCGGTTTACCTTTAGAAGTTACCGAAACGGGGAAGAGAGGGGTTCAGTAAAAAAAAAAAAAAGGAAAGGGAAAGATAGGTTTATAGTCTTTTCGTTCTAACGTTTTGTGTTGTTTGAGAGAATCGTCTAGTCTAACCATTGTTTCTTTTTCTTTCTCGAACTGTGAAAATGGTATTAGAGAGGATATGGTGTAAACGCAGCTGTCGAGGGGGGTTTATATTCTTCACTCTCTTTCTTCCTATTCGATGAAAGATATTTTAGGGTGTTTGTGTTTGGGGAGTCATTATATATTTTCAAATGCTTTTGAAAGATGGATATTGTTTGAGAGATGGATTTTGAGGTGCTAAGATGTTGCATTGGGTATACACGGTCAAGTGACAACCCCCCTCTCATCTACCCTTTCTTCTTATCATCCCCCTGGTGTCGCAATTCATTTTCTTTATCGTTTTATTGCACTATTGTTATTATTATTATTATTTTTTTTTTTTATTACGTTACTTTTCCTTGTTTTCCTTTTCATCTTTCTTATTCTGGTGTACACTTATTTTCTGTTTTTATTATTTATTTATTTTTTTTTTTTTGAGATAGAAGGGGAAAGAGACGTGCCGCGAAATAGCGCATCAGAATGCGACACTGTCAGCGAAATCCCGTGGCGACGGAGTACGGTAGTTTTCTCTTGAGAGTAAACTTTGAATAAGTTGACGCTTACGAGTATCATCTTCTCTTTCTCTCTCTCTCTCTTTCTCTCTCTCTCTTTTGCTCTTGTTCTTCTTGCTATTTCTTTCTTTATTTCTGTTATGTACTTTGTTGTGACGTCAAGCTTAGAAGCGTCACCAAGAGAGAACATTTCTTTCCTCAACTTTTAAATCCCGTCTGTTTCTTGCTCTTTTCGTTAGAATAATTAAGCCCTTGGCAAAGCCTATCTCATCTAACAGGGGGTTGACAATTTTTAATCGTTGATTTGATTAATAATTATTTTTTTTTTATTAATTGTTTAGTATAAATAAATTCAAATTTTTATTGGAAATATAATATCATTGGAACTGTTTTATAAGTTTTATCGTTGTTCTTTGTATTATTGTTGTTAATTATGGTTTTTTTTATTCGTATAAAGCAAAGATTATTAATTCAATTTATTATTACATTTAATTTAATTTAAAATTAATTATTTTTATTCAAATTATTTATGTTTAAATATTTAACTAATTCTTATTTGACATAAAACGTTGTTTCATTTGATATTAGAAATAATTATCATTAATTTAACGATAATAATTTATAATATTGAAAAATACGTTTATAAAAATTCAAGATTTTTATTAAATTTTTGAGCGCTTATATGCGTTGGACTAGAAGCTATTTAGTTTGGACAATTAGTGTACAAATCAAGTTCGGTTAAAAATTATCAAACATTGGCTATGAACGTACATATGGGTTCAGTAAAAGTTTAAAGAATGAACTATGAGCGCATATATACGCTCATTGATATAATCACACGTAAATAATTAAAACAATCATTTTTAAATAATCAAATAATAATAAATATTAATAAATACGATTGATACAAAGTTGGGAATGTTTTAAATGTAAAATGTTTCAGTTTATAAGAAACAAGAGTAGTAGAGTCATATTTAGTTACAGTGTCTTGTAACAGTCTGGTAAATTTCTTCTCTTATTTCTCTCTTCACTACGACACAGAGATTAGAAAAAAGAAAAAAAAATAGAAAAGGGAATATTTCTGAATCAATTCTAAATTATTCATTTGTCTTATATGATTGTGAAAAGTACAAAAGTAAAAAGACAACAATTTTGTGACACGTTCTAAAATCCTATGATTAAAAACAAAATCAGAATAAAACAATTATTTGACACGTTTTAGAATCCTGTGACTACAAATTATTCGATTAATAATAAATAGTTTTTAATAAATAATAAAAAAAAAACATAAAGATTTAAAACAATAAAGAAAACAAATATGTAAAATAATCTTGTATTTCGTAACAAGTAAATGTTGTTATTAAAGATAAATCAAGTTAAACAAATGAATCGTTAATGTTGCAGTGTCCTGTGACAGTAAATTCGTCGTTAGCGTCTTCGTCGGGCTCACCGTCGTCAGGAGTTCACCTGAGCGCAGGAAGTTCATCTTTGGTGAATGCGGCGTCCGGCGTAGGGACGACGAATCATCCTCTTGGTGTGGTGGGTGTTGTACCCAGTGGCGGGGGGGCCGGTGGTTTGTCAAACGCAAGGATGGCGGTGACGAACGCGGTGGTTAGACCACCGGGGAGTCCAACAGCCTCGGTGAGTCCATCTCAAGGTCATCCACCGCCAACAACGGCAGGTCCGACAGCCGCTAGGTGCTGTGACACCGGCAGACCTATCTTCACGGATCCAATCACCGGACAAACTGTCTGTTCATGTCAGTACGATCTTCTTGGTGGTTATCAAAGACTCGGTGGATTACCAACTGCAGCCCTTTCGATGTACAGCGCACCCTATGCTGCTGCAGCAGCTGCTGTCGCTTCTGAAGGCATGGCTGCTTATTTTCCGAGCCTTGGTGCTGAACAAGCACCTTTCTATACACCTACTGTAAGTACCTTTTTTTTTTTATACACTTTGTGTTTTATTTTATTTATTACAAATATAAAGATGAATACCAAACAGGGTGATATGCATCTCAACTAACTACTTGTTGTGTACTCATTTTTTAATTAGATTTAATTGGCAGAATTAAATGGTTTTATTTTAATTTTATTTATTAATGAAAAATCTAAGTATGAATAGCAAATAGAACAAAATATTAATCTCAATTAAAATCCATTCTAAGAATATCGTCATAAAAAGAAAACTAATTTGCTAAAAGAAAAAAAGGAAGAAGAAAAATACAAATTTAATAAATCCTTGACAACAAGAAAAAAAAAGAGGAGTAGGGAAAGAAAAAAAAAAGAAAAAATCGTTAATCCAATCATTTTATATATCGGTACCATGTTAAACGTTATATTGAATTCAGCAAGTTCCTAGTAATATCCAGCGTGACGCGTTACGATATAATAAAATAGTATGTGAGTAAAATACTATATCGTATAATGTCCTTTAAGCTCGATCATAAAGAAGAACGATAAAGGCGAGCAGTATTCTCAAGCCGACGGTTAGAAACACGACACAGTGTTTCCACTATAGTGGACAACTCGAATTCATAAATTGACGCTTGTTGTTGTTGTTGTTGTTATTCTTGTTGTTAAGTATTCTCTTCATTCTAGCTAAAAAGAAATAGAATAAAAAAAAAAAAAAAGAAACAAGACAAACATAAGTAAAATAAAATATAATATAAAACAAAATAATGAAAACAAAAGTAGAGGTGGCTCTGTGTGTGGTCTGATAACCCCATAGTCGGCAAACTACGACACTTATGTGTCGTATGCACCATGCATTCATGCATGCATGCACGAAACTTCGATCTCTTCTTTATTTATACTTAAAACTATTTATTATTATACTTAATTTTTTTTTGTTCTACCTGTTATACGTTTTGTGCTCGTATTAAATGTCATTACTTGATCCTAGATTGACGATAATAACGTCTCTCTCTCTCTCTCTCTCTCTCTCTTTCTCTCGTTTATATTACCACAGTTACATGTTACTATCTAACGATATATTTATAAGTCTGTTTGAAATAAAAATTCATTTTATATACGCACCATTGATGCTGTAAAATTCACAGTTTAGATCTAATTCTAGATCGTGTCGATTAAAGTTTTCATCTATTTTCTATTAAGATCTTAACGGTTGATTTCTATTTTATTACATATTTATCTTACCTATAAACATGTTTCTCTCAGTTTTAATGGTATTTCAATCGGTGAACGTAAACGTCTAGTTGGATTATTGAAAGTTTGTTTTTGTGTGTTTTTATTTATTTATTTAATAAATCCTGATTAGGGAATGGAAAATTAGAGACAAATATTTTCTACGTAAATGAATGATTTTCTTATATGAATATAATTAGAAAGTCTCTAATGCCTTTTATTTTTGTTTAAATAAAAATTAGATTTAATTGTCGATTTAATATTTTTCTAGATTCGTATTTATTTTTTTTTTATAGATAAATTTATTGCAAATTGATTATTGAATAATCTGATAAATATAAATGATTTAAGAATGTTTTTTTTTTTTTTTTTTTTAAGCATATTTAGTTGTTCTGATTGTAATATTACAAATTAAAAAATTGTTTACACGAATTTTACTCGAGTATTTGCATAAACACGTAATTACATTTTTCATAAATATCAGAAGCAAAAAAAAAAAACAAAAAAGAAAGGAACAAAAAAATGTAATTATCTACACGACTGAAATTTTCTTATCGTCTTATAAACATCAGATAAAAAAAAAAAAATAACGAACAACACGCAAAAACGTACTATAATTATATAAGAAAATAATAATAAATCAATTATCTTAATTGCAAAGTTAAAAAAAAACAAAAAACTTATATATCTAACTTCGTGATTTAATTAAAATATTCGAAAATAATAAAACAATGAAATAATAATTGTTAACATGAGAATAATAATAAGACTCGTTAAATGTAATAATAATAATAATAATACAAAACGTAATGATTGAATTATTATTCATTTATATTTCAGGCTGCTGGATTAGAATTGAAAGAAAATCTAAGTGCTAGTGCAGCAGCAGCATGGCCCTATCCTTCTGTGTATCATCCTTACGATGCAGCATTTGCGAGTTATCCTTTCAACGGGTAAGTTATCAATAAACAATCTAATTTAAATGTATTATATTTATTATTATTCAATTAATCGATATGATATTTTTTTTTTAATATAATTTTATCTTCTAGTAAACGTTACATTTATTATTATTTCTTATTCACAATTATAATGTGTTATATATATTTATTATTATTTATTATTCACAATTGGACGGTGTTATATTTTATTATTTTTTTTTTTACTCACAATTAGAATGTGTTATATTTTATTATTATTTTTTATTCACAATTAGAACGTGTTATATTTTATTATTATTTTTTATTTACAATTGGAAGGTGTTATATTTTATTATTATTTTTTTTTAGTCACAATTGTAAGGTGTTGTATTTTATTATTATTTTTTATTTACAATTGTAGGGTTACAAGG